TTTAGTTTTGATGCAAAAACGCATGATCGCACCGGCTCGCCTGGTGCGTTCCAGCCTTTGTTACGAGTGTCGGGTTGTTATTATCCTATAATCCGCTGCGCAACCCCTATTCAAGTTCATCTCAGATGTTTTGGAACTCGCATGCTCATTTGATGTGGCCGGAGATTAGTAACGGCCTGTAGACGAGCAGAATTCAAGCTTTATTCGCAAAGGTCACGGCCATTCTTATTTCTTGCCTCCTTCCGGGAAAAGAAAAATGGGGCGGTGAGTAGCATCCGAGACGCGCTCGAAAGAGAACACTAAACTGTCCCCCCAAAAATTGAAGGTTGAAGTTCGAGGATTTGCTGGTCCAGGTTTACGAACCCTGTTTGTGCCGATTTAAAAGAAAACTAGAACGTGTACTTGCATTCAATCGTCCTTAACGACTTCATTCGCTGGTATGAGGCAGTTTCCGTAGTGCAGCACAGACGGCATTTTCATGCGCGAAAAATCGCTTCCCATCAAAGGAGGCGACGGCTTGTTGCGTTCTCATGTTATGGCATTAGTATTTATCTCAAAGCGGACTCAGGAAGCTGATGATTTCAAGTCATTTTCGTAGCGTCACTCCTGTTGGGGAGGAGGGGGGAGAGGAGGAATAAATTTATACATAATCATGTGCAAATTTAGCTTCTTATGCGTTTCTGCATATATGCAAATACAAAAACGCGTATTGTGACGACCTGTGATGTGTGTGTGTGTGTGTGTATGAATGAGTGTATGTATATATGTGTGTGCATGTGTGTGCGCGCATGTATGTGTGTGTGTGCTTCTGTTTGTAGGTGTATGTGCGTGTATCTGTTTGTATGTGTATGTGTGTGTACGTTGTGTGTGTGTATGTGCGTGTGTGTATGCGCGTATGTGCATGCGCGTATGTGCATGTATCTGCATGTGTATGTATACGTTTGTCTGCGTGTGCATGTGCGCGCGCGCATGTGTATGCGTGTGTACGTGTATGTGCATGTGTGTATGTGTGCATGCGTATGTGTGTGTATGTTTATGTGTGTATGTATGCGCACATATGTGTTTGTGTGTGTGTGTGAATATGTATATGTGCGCGTATATCTCTGTGTGTGCGTCTGTCTCGGTATTTTGACTCGGCAACCAAGCAAGCTCTGGCGATAAAATTTTGCCGGTGGATTTCCCGACTAAGTGCCACTCCGGGGCCGCGGTACCAACCTTCACGCACGTCTGGGCCGCGTGCACGAGCGTATGAAACTTTTGACGAGAAAATTACCAACTCGGGAGCCAGAAAAGCTAGGAGGCTGAAATTTTAAAGGGATATCCCCAAACCACGTGCAAATTAAAGATTTAAATCCAGCCCCCAGGTGTACTTAGTTCTCACGTACAGCCCCGTGAAAATTTTTGGCGGGAAAATCGCTAACTTGGGAAACAAAAAAACTAGAAAGCTGAAATTTTGACGGGATGTTCCTCGTTCGTGTAGAAATTGAAGATCCAAATTCAGCCCCAGAAGTGTGTGGTTCTCACATACGAGCCCGTTGAAATTTTTGGCGGAAAAATCGCTAACTCGGGAACCGGAAAAGCTGAAATTTTAACGGAATGTTCCCTGTCCAAGTACCACTTAGTTGCAAAATTTACTTCCTGAAATTCGAGGATCGGTGTGTCACAAATTCTGGCTACTGGGATTCCAAGTGATCTTACTGCAACACGAAATAGTGCAGAAACGCAAGATCGCACGGGCTACCTGGTGCACATCAGCAATGAGTTTTGCTTCTCATCAATCAGTAATTTTAAATATCAAGGTTTTGAGCTCTGAAACTGTATGTTTGGATCTGAAGTTACTGACCGGGCTACAGCAATGCTAAGTGCCTCTGTCCGATGCGAATTTGAAAGCTATTACGTCACGTTATTTATTGGTCCAAATCTAAACTTTTGACTGTGCAACTTTCCTTATTCTCAATTTCTGGCATTTACTTCAGTTTAGACCAAGGCCATAAATCAAAATGCAAAAGAGCAGCAAATTGGTTTTTGAATCTGTGCACAGCGAAAGTATCTCCAGTATTTCCGCATAAGAATTCGTAGTTTTATAAAGTTAATTTCGTGAACATGCTTACACTTGTAACATGCTTACACTGCTTTTTATGAATAATTTGTTCAAAATGCTTTTTGAACAAATTCTTTGTACAAAAGCAAACAGAAACAGGGGACTAATTAAAGAGTAGAGGATCTCATTGAATTTAGATAGAATTTGTGCAGGGAAAAGTAAAGTTTAATCAGATGCAAAATGTTATCCAAGGGACTTTGAAATATTATTCAAATTTTTTTTTTTGGACTGCTGATTTGCCTTAAAAGCGATCAGACGCTCCCAGAACTGCTAAACATGGCTGAATTTAAGCGGAATGGTCATAAATTAGTTGGAAGTGCCATCCAGAATTGAAAGGGGCCGTCGACAGCTGTGGTAGAGACCTTGTCCAGAAGAGCTGTACAGACTGTCGGTACTCTAACACCTATTTCGTAGAGAAAAACGGCTGTTTTCTGTAGATGAGCGTTAGAGTATCGACAGTCTTTAAGAGTACTTCTCGGTTTCACCTTTTTGTGATTGTGGGAAGGGAGCTGTTTGCAAACTTGTTGGATGATTTGGGTGTTCAGGGTGATGAGGTCGAGCAAGGCGTTCGAAACTTACTCCCTGCAGGAAAGAGTTGTCCGAGGTTTTGCAAAAATGCATTGGTGTGACTTATCACGAAAAACTTATAACTGCTATCTACATCTGAGAATCTCGCATTTTCCTGTTTGCTGAAGGGAATCGAAAATTTGAAATATCAAGCGTTATGTCCTGAACCACGAGATTCTGGAACTATCAGTTCGTTTTCCTCTCATTTACTCTCTATCAGGCGTGCAGTGCATTCTTACAGTTCAAAGATGGGACTCATTTTCATCATCACGTGTCACAAAAGCAATAGTAACCTAAAGTGCTGGATGGGATTAATGGAAATTTTCATCTTCTGTTCGTAACTGCTTCCTGTCCGCCCTTGCCTTATTCGCTTCCGTTGCTCAGTTTTCCTCCTTTTCAAACAAAAATTATAAGTGACTAGTAAGTCAATTTCTGACTTACGAAACTGAGGGAATGAAAATCTGAAGCACAATCTTTAGAATGGGCGAAGAAGAATGATATGCAATGATGCATGTCTATGGGGTTTCGAACTAAACTACTTGAGTTGGCCGCACGTCCACAGTTTGATACCTAAAATATTGCAGTCGTTTTTCGAGACATTCGTTGAATGATTTTTGCTGCTGAAACTGTCGGGTTATCCTCTCAAAAATTTATCCATCAAATGTTGTTTTTAAAAATTAATGTTTGTTGCTGAAATTCGATTTCGCGTAATAGCGTAATATAAATGCCACGTAATAAAATATAAATAAAATCCTTTGTTTGAAACTGCACACGTAGCCTTAAATAAGGATGGATATTGCAGCAATAACGAGGAAGCGAAAGCGAAGAAACCACGTGCAGTGAACTGCAGCAAGATGATTGATAATCCAGAAACAAACGTGAACGTGCCGGATAAAGCGGCGAGCACGGTACTTAAGCAAGATCCGGACAGTTGTGTATATGTGGGCATTGACAGCGATGAACAGATGAACAGTGAGCCAGCTCCTGTTAACACAGTCCCTGACGGTCCCTTCCAAAGATCCCCTCAGAGCCTGAAGAACGATACGGGTTGCGTGGACAGAGTACGGAAGGTAACCTATTCTGATTCATTATCAGCAAAACTTCCTGCTAGTTCCTTGGAGTGATGGATCAGAAGCAGAGCATGTGATCTGTACTCCTGGTAATTTCTGCAGGAATGAAAAAGAATGAAAAAAACTGTAGTAAAGTGATGGAGATGAGAAGACTCAAAGGTACTACAGCTTTTGAGGACAGAAGGAACGACTACATCTTTTTTTTTCATTTTAGGAACTGGAACGGATTTTGACGAAAATGGAAGAAGTTGTTCCGAAAACAGACGTTTTCGATGATTTTCTGAAAGAATGTGCAGTGATATTGAGAGATCGATGGCGGGCTCGAGACAAATTCTCAGAAACTGCTTTCCAGGTTCCAAAATTTTTTTCAGATTTCAGCTTTTTAAATGTTTCGCACAACTCGTTGTTTTTCCACTGAGGAGGGAAAGTCTGGTAGCAGTCGAGATATTGTTAAGTCATAAAAAGCCTTTTCCCGGGTTGCATGTGTTAAACGTAATTAACCAAATTAACAGTTTATAATAAAAGGAGTGACCGAGGGCAGGATGACGCGTTGTGGGTGGCTGTTGTGCACTCATTCAACCACAATGGCAGTAGCCGACATTATTCTCTCAGACTGTGACAGAATTTCACGAAATACCAATGTCCTGCAGAACTTATATTTGCAGCAGTTTCTGATGGATAAAACAAAAAATTATATTCATGCGATATTCAAAGCTACTTTAAATAACTTCGTCGGCGGGAGTCAGGGATCGGAGATGACCAGATAGGGCATACAAACAGTGCTTAGCATTCTGGACAACCTCACGTTACTGAACTGTAATTACGTAGACAAATAGCAGCGCTACCGTGGTGTTGCCCTTGGACTTGGTTCTAAATTAAGAAGCATGACGTAATAGTCACATGCTTACTAAGTTGGTCGGAGATAATTATCACAGATTGAGCTATTAATTGATATACGGATAAAACTGGCATTCGAGAACAGTAATTTATAATCACTTCCTGAATAGTCATCCAAAATACCGTCATGTTTTGCTGCGTGGTTGTCTGTAGAGCCGTCTCAAACGTTATCAGTTTAAAGTCTAATCGGACAGAACTATGTGTAATGGAGTTAATCGGTGAATTCCTCTAAGATGATAGTAAATTTACGCAGGGGATACCACCAGCTGATGATCATGAAGTTGCGGAGGAAATTCATAGCAAGCAAGCTCAAAAACTCGTAAGAGACGATTATTTGGTTCAAGCTAAATCGGGGTTTTGTAAGGACGCTGAAGAACGGACGATATAATTGATGAAGGGGCGATGAAGAATAAGGACAAAAATTTTGTGTCACTTTTGACAATTTACCAAATTTTGATTTGAATTAGTGCATTTTTGAGTTTTGCGCCGTGTTGCAATAGAATCGGATCAGTTCGTTAGGAACCAAAAATTCAGCAAATTTCATTGTGCATCCCTAGTTGGCGTTGCGATGCTTTGGATCAAAATATGCACGAACCAGTTTCAGTTTACTGTTTCATCTTGCAAATCTTACCTTTACACTAGCTCGTTCAGTCGCATATAATTGACGCATCCAAATTGTGGAGTTTGGTCCTCAGAAATCATGTCAAAGTGCTCTATTGTTGAAATGATGTTACTTGAATATGTAAATAAAATGTGATAGCGTGAGGTTGTTTAATATGCCAAACACTGCATCACGTACCCATTTTGAACGTAGTTAGTCAGTTTGGCCTTCCAGCCCACTTTCGAGGTCATATTTAAAGGAATTTTGGAAACCATGCTTATGCCATGTATTCGGACTTATTTGAACTAATTCACCTATAATACCTGTTTCGAGCTTCATCGCTACAGTAGCAGACGTTGTGTGTGAACGATTGTTTCGAATTGGCATGCATGGCCGCATCATTCAGTTTGCTTATAATTTTGAGGGGTTTCCATAGACAGTCGTCACTCCTTAGCCGACTCACCTCTTTTAGCTTAAACCAAGCGGCGTCGTGGGCATACGTGGGCTTGCGCTGATGTTGCTGAGAAGACCTCATTTATTGTTGCAAGTTTGAATATTGTCGGTGGATTAACGAGATTATAGTTGGTAATTTGAGGGTCTGCTTGTGATACTGGAATTTTGTTTGGCATACACGAAGTCATACGACCCGTTGTTTGATTATTTCATGACCTGTTTGGGTTACAATTCGGTAGCATTCTGGCGCCTTGCTGTGCCCATGGTTTATGATTCGGATTTGTCAGCTGGCACTCATTATCGTGATGCCTTATTGTTTGCTCTTGCTCTTTATGATGTCAACAACAGCAAAAGTCGTCTAAGGTTAGCTTTTGGACTCATAACTTTCAGCTTTTTTATGCGTTTTTTGTAGCTTTGCAATGCAAAAACGCATATTGTCGAGGGGTTGTCTGTGTGTGTGTGTTTGTGTGTATGTATGTGTGTGTGTCTGTGTGTGCGTCTGTAACGAGTTTTCATCTCAAGATCCACAAAAGCTACAAGGCTGAAAATTCGGTGACTTAATCTATACATACGTGCGGGCTCGTATCCTCAAAATGGGCGCTTAGGTCCGCGTGGTTCTCACGTAGGGGCACGTGAAAATTTTTTTGGCGGGAAAGCGTTTTCGGGAACGGCCCATGCTAGGAGGCTGCAACTTCACAGAGTTGTTCCTTAGCCGTGTCTAATCCAAAGATTTCAAATTCAACCTTCACGCACCCTCAGGACTCACGTAAGCACACGTAAAAGTTTAAACTGGCATCGTGCCAACTCCAAATTTAAGGCGATCAGTAAACTGCAGAGAACTGCAATTTTGCACCTTTACTTGATGCCCACTGTTGTGTCCGTGGAAGTAAGTTACTTGTCAGCCCTTCTGCTTCTCACGTACGAACACGTGTACGCACGTGAAATTTGACGTAACTCCGCAACCGGAGCAGCTGGTGTGCTGAAACTTTCTGAGCGCTACCCAGGACCGTGTTTGACCAATTACAGACAAAGAAAGCACTCACGTTGCCACTCACGTACGAACACGTGAGATTTGACGTAACTCTGCAACCGGAGCAGCTGGAGCGCTGAAACTTTCTGAGCGCTGCCCAGGGCAGTGTTTATTAACCGCAAGCGAAGAAAGCGTTCACTTTACCATTCACGTACGAACACGTGAAATTTGACGTAACTCTTCA